CAGGTCTTGAAAGTGTAACATTATATTGGTTTGGTTGGATAGCCTTGTGTTTCAGGGAGTGAGTAAACAAATGATATCATCAAAGGCAACTGATGTTCTTTCATTTACAATTTTCAAGTGAAGTGTTATTACTAGCAGTTTAATTAAAACAACAATTCGACCTTTCCTCAACACTAGGCTCAAAGATACTATTCCCAAAAAAAACAAAAATCAAAAACAAAGCAAAATAAAATTCAGTCGCTATCTAACTTAAGATATTTTTGAATAGCTTACCGCTTCTGCTACGATGAGCGATGCGAGAATGAACAATGTAATATCACTGACACGAAAATGCTCTCCACTACCATTGCTTTATACTTTAATAGAAGTACTTAACTCCAAAGGTATTTATTGTTGCACTCGGTTAAAGCTTTGTGGCAGAAATTCAAAATCATTCTGTTACAGGCAAGGCTTGTCCTTATTCGTTCTTCCGTGTAGGATGAGACAAATATAGGAAACAAAAGCGCTTAATCATCCAAAAGAAAATGCCTGTAGCCGAGAATGATTAAAGCTCGGTATCGTTCCATTAAAGTACAAGAACTTTTCGCCCAACTGTAGTTCTTTGACGTTCAAAGGAGATCTGAGGTCGCTTTATTGGTTTGTCAGTAATTCTAACCTGGATTATCTGGGGTTCATCTCACAAACTAAAAATTTAAATTTAAACATATCGAATAAGACTGACAGTGTGCCGTTAACAGTGAATAAGATAGATAGTTTAATAGGAATGACTAAGTCACAGCCAAAGGCTGAATTGAATAACTATTTACAATATAAATATCGTACATTTAAAACTGGGGCTATTTACAAAGGGTCTCTATATAACTAAAGTGCTCTGTACAAATTACCGCCTACGAGCACTGCGGTCAGAGGAGGCCCAAATTTACTGACAAGACAAGCAAGAAGCTGCATAGTTTTACGGCCGTGGATCTTTTAGGAACTGTTCTGATGTGCAGTGGAAGGCAAGTGGGCCAGTACTAGATGTGAACGATATGTGCTTTGTTAAGAATGAAATTGAAAAATCGAAATTACCCAAGGCTTTGAACAGGGGTACGACTGGAAATGATTTTTACAGGCACCAAATTTGCTGTAATCAGGAAACGTGCAACATCATGACGAACGTGCAAATGAAAAATTTACGAGCACACTTTGCTTCATGCCATTTATTTAATAAGCTTGCGTGGTAGGCGGCATGTCAGCTTTCTATTGTTTCAGAAAGCTAATTGATATAAGCTTTCGCTGTAGACATCATTTGCATCATAAATGTTATCCAAAAAATTGATGACGGCGGCTTAATCCTTCTAAATGAAAAACGTGTACTGGGGATATCACATTGAAAAAAACGAAGATAATCACATTTTTACTTTGCAAAAGTAGTGGGGTCGTTCGCTTACTGCTTGTGAAGTGGATAAATAATGAACTGAAGCTCGAAGAAAGTGGGACACAACCTCCTTAACAAGAAAAGCTGAATTGCTTCAAAGACAATCTTTCTCTCGTTTGGATGGACTATAACTCAAGATACCTACTTTTCAATCGTAATTTTTTCAATTTGTTTTGACCATATTTAACAAGTTTTTAGAGCTATTATACAGGTCAAATACAGCATCAGTAACCTTGGAGCTTGGTTCTATGAGCTTGAAGCTAGAAACTCAAGCTTACCATCTTCCTGAAACGCACGACTTTCTTGAATCATTACAACCATATCGAAATTGAAATCAAAGAAAACAACTCACTCATTTATTCACTTTATCTCTGACTCGCTCGCTCGCTCACCCACTCTATCATCCATTCAGAAACCAAAAGGCTACCACGGTTTTCATCAACCTCATCCCTGCGCTCTTTTGCAATTTTAACACCACAAGAATCACGTCCATACATGTCCCTGATGGTATCGACTGTAGATTAGCCTCTTTAAGAACAAATTCATGTTTTTCGTATAACCTGGCTGTACTTCCTAGTGTCAACGCAAAGCTGCTCTGTGAGCTGCTCTCATACCACAAATATGACAACTTTGGATAAATTGATCTACAGTCCGATTCATAATCACTTCAGTGTTCCAGTAAGATCAAATTTATTTGTGCTAGCTGTATTTGACAAAGATTTGGGAATACTGAGATCAAAGATGGAAAGAGATGTTTTCCGCGTATTATATCTTATTTGAATTCAAACTTGAGTAAATAAATAATTATATAGTTCCGTGCTAATTACACTCGCCCACCTTCCCTAATTTTGCGTTCGGTGTAATTCAGTTCTTTTATCAATTTTGCCTAACTTTAGTTTCCACCAGTCACAGACAAATGATAGACTTGTTCAATAAATAATGAGTCCATGATGTTGTTTCATGCTTCTGATATATCGCTCTATGCTAATTCATGAAACTGAAACTGGACAGTTTCCTCTTAACAGAACCCTCGCTCCAGCAATCCTTGTCAGAACGGTTCGACTTGTGTGGCCAAGCGCGTCGATGACGATTATAAGTGCACATGCCCACCAGGATTTAAAGGAAAGAACTGCCGTTAAGCTGTAGGTATCTAAATGCTACCACGCTCTCATCGTATAACCTTCGCTAACAATCTCGAGCTTTTAGAGCGTTTTGACGAAGAGAAAACATTCAAACAGTCAGCTTTAGAAATTCTAAATGCATAATAAGCAAAGCGCGCGCATCAAGTGCAAAAATAATTTGTTCAAACCGTGCGTTCGGTCAAAACAACCGCGTACGATCAAATAAATAATATGCAATGATATCTACACATCTTTAAGGCGCAAAAAAATTCAAAGTCCGGCTAAACAGTTCAAGGAATTGTTCAGTCCGTGTCTTAATCACTTTCTATGAAACGGAATCGTCGTTTCCGAGGTTTAATCATGTTTGTTTTTAATTTCGGCGTTGGATCGCTCGAGCAAAGTGTTAAGCTGGGTCGGTTCGTAATTTTCGATTTCCTTGGCGATTCCCTTCTCTAAACACCACTTTTTCCAAACCGACAACCGAAAAACAGTGCTTTTTACAGTATTTTTGTTGTTTGAGCCGTTTTTCGGCCGCGGTGGCGAAAGAAAAACCTACCTAAAACGCCGGCCATTGTTTCGCTCGCAAGTTTTCAAATTTTGTTGCGACATCCAATGCTCGCATTTGATTGGCCGTCTGTGAGTTTCTTTGATTATTGACCAATCAGAATGTCTGATTTGTTACTTTCTTTTCATTGAATTAACCCTCTTCTGCACTGAATTACATAAGAACTGCATTTATCTCAACCAATCATAGCTGAGTAATCTTTTCATGTATATTATTTTGTCTGAGATCATTCTTGTGATTTCAAATCGAGCTTATAATTTTGGACCAAATTGCACTTCAGTCAGATCGATAACCATTACTTACATATTTAGAGGTGGTGGCGTATCGACACATCTATACAAACACATGAAGTCCACAGTTATTCTGACTGCAACTTAACACTCGTTTAATTGTTCAGACTTTACATCGAGATATTACATGCTAATCGCCGCTACATTTTTGGAGTTGAGGGTTAACGTTATAAAATTTGACGACGGCCGTTCTTCTATTCTTCAAAAGCAAGTAACATCAAAAAGAAAAGCAGAGCAGCGACTAGTCTCTAAATACAATTAATAGGACCTGTGACGATGAATAACTTGGTCTGACTCAAGTGTTCATTGCGTTTACAATGGTGTCAGGAGTGCCGTGCGGATTGAAGGGAGAGAGAGAAGAAATAAGAGGAACTTTCTAGTATCAACGTGCAACTATTTACGAATTACACGCCCAGAAAATATTTGAAATAAATGCATGTTATATTTAGGTCTGCCTCGGTGTTTACCACGGGACCTGGAAAGGAGAAAACTTATCGTAAGCCGATACTGATGCGCCTTTTATCCTGGACATCATGACCTTTTTCACCAAATGCCACACCACCCTTCTCGCCCTTTGAATTAGTGAACGCAGTGCGGAAGAATGACGCACTACCATCGGCGCACCAATTGGTGCATCTCTTGAAACAACCCCCTGTGTGGGCGGAAATCAGGAAGCCCCTGTAGAACGGATCATCACAAATCAGAAGCTGGTAGGAATAAGCCGGATCAGCCCCCACCCCGTCCCACAATCCATAGCTGTCTGCAGATTTTCCGTAATTGAGGGAGGCCTTAATGGCTTGATTGTTTCGTGACTTGAAGTAAATCTTCTTTCCAGTTTGGTGATCCTCAAAGATGATTTCTGTGAACTGAAATAATCGTAATGAAATAATAAATTTAATAATTCTGGTGGAAAGCAGATTGAAGAGAATCAATACAGAATGGAGGAGTCAGTCTGTCTAAAACGTAATTTAAAAGAGATAGAGGAACTTAACAATAAACTTGAAAAACATTGACATCAACGAAAAAACAGTTAGTTGTTATATACAGCTTTTTTGTGGAGTCCTAGAAGCGAGGTGTTCTCATTAAGTTGTTCACATACAGCTGTTTCGAGAAATTTTGCTGGAAAAAGAGGCAAAAGAGCAGGCAATAATGTTAAAGGATAATCTGAGTATCCGGTACTCCTTTTATTTTAATAAGCATGATAAATCAGTCAATCAATCAAACCCACTGTGCCTCGTTCTTAGAGTGACGTTTTTTCAGATTTCCTGAAATCCTGAGGTCAACTACTAACAAGATCTTTCGGGGTTATAACGTGCACTTTTACACTTTTTTCCAACAACCTTTCACGAAACTGCTATATTCAATTGCATTTGACCAAGGACGATAATGGAGTAATGTGTTTTACATTAAAATCTCGCACAACGGAATATCGATGGTATGATGATTAATATCAGTTAACAAAGTTATTAGGATGTTGTTGCAATCGGTTCTGTAGCCGTCACTTCCATAAGTGTACTCGATTCGAACTCTGTTTGGACTTCACTTCGTGCAGTTATAACTCTGCACTAATTCAAAGGATTCGGAAAAGTAACCACGGGTGATTGGGAACTTACTTGGATATTGTTACAGTTACTTCTGTAGCCCACAGTTCCATAAGGAAAAGAGGCGCTGTATGTGACCTCAGTCTTAGGTCTGATATATTCATCGGTAGTGTAACACATGGTCCATCCTCCATTGTGTGACGTCATGTCGCAGTAGGCCAGGAATGCATTGGAATGGCTTCCTCCATCCGGGTCTAACCAGTACATGCCATCTCCTTGTGAGAGACTTCGCTCCTTGATGTCCAAGCAATTCTTTCCAACAAAGGGGCCTGATTATTAATTGAATCGAAGTAATTATTAATCTTTATGTAAGGAAAGAGAAATTTCACTTTCTGATTTTCATGCCAGAACGTATATTTTACACCGATGAGGTGAGAAAATGGGTCACCGTACGTTAATGCGCTTTTAACCGCAAGCTTAGCATCGGCGAGTGAACATTCAATGCCCCTTCGTCAGAGTGAAATATTGAAATACAAGATGCATGTATTGTGGCACTTTGATGAAGAAGAATCAGCAACATCTACTAAGGCATATAGGAAAAAGGCCTATGAAGGCTACAACCAGGGAGTCTAAACTTTTTTCGGGCCTCTTATCACTGTTTCCCACATCTATATCAGCTTGTTCTGAAATTGGAACCCTTTGTAGGCAATTAGAGGGTAATAACACGGGGTTGAACTGTGTTCAACTGTGAACGAAAGAGATGGAAATTAAGGGAATTGTAACGAATAAGAAAGAAAGGGACAGAAAAAGCGTGAATTTCTTATTACGATACCTGTTTTGCAGCCTTTTCCGTTGTAAAATCGAGGACACCAACTGCAGTAATAATCGCCATCTTTGAATTTGGCAACACATTTTCCTTTGTTTATGCAAGGATCGTTGATGCAGGGACTCTGTTTCCACAAAACAGGAGAAAGTTAACTTTATCATCCCAGATAAAAATGCGTTTTGACAATAATCAAAACATTACTTATTTTCAAGACCTTTTGGGCTCATTACCACAAGAATAAGAACATTCAGAGGCGACGTAGTGAACTTAACATACGTGCCAAGTTAACCAAGGAATTATTCTTACATACGTGTAAGAGTTGGGTCCCCACATGCAACGCGCTCTCGCCCCCTCCAACTATTGAACGCGTTGCTTGACGAGGACCAAACAACAGCTGTGATCAAGGAGACCAGGCACAAGCAGTTGTAGATAGTCTCCTTGATTGCAGCCGTTGTTTGGTCCCTAAATACAATTTGGATTTATTAAAGTCTGCAAACTTCACAAATATATCGGCCATGTTCACGTCGTATACTCCTTAATCTACAATGATCAGAACTGTTTCACATACCCATCTTTTATGAAGCTTAGTCATGTGACTGCCGATCACACGAAATAATGTCTTTTCAAAATAATTTTCTTGCTCTAATCTCTGAATTTGCTAAAACTCTTGAAAAGGTTTATCTTCATTTACGATAATTGTGATGTTACTAGAGTGTTTTTCGATTCAAACTACACTCACCGTTTTACTGAAATGATCAAACATCGGATTGTGAATCAATTCATTGGGCATCCTGTGCTTGTCAGAAGGTAGAAGTTCACACAACAGTTTTCCGTTGATATCAGGAAATGTAGCCAGGTTAAAAGAAGAACATGAAGTGACTTGTAAACAAGCCAATCCACACTCGGTGTCCTTTTGGACAAGTTTTGAATCGATTCTTGTGATGTTTAAGTAGGAAAACTGTTCGTGCTTGAAGTTCGCATATGATACACCTGGCTCATCAAAATCTTGCCGAACACCTTTTAACAGAAGGAATTACATTCATGTTAGTTTCATCAAAGCTGTGGAAAAATCTCCTAAAATGATTTCCTGTCTGAATCTAAAATCTATCTTAAAGGAGTGCGCTTTCTGAAACACTTTCTGATAACTGCCCGAGTCTGCTCTTTGTAAGGAGATGCCTCTGTCGTTCAAATTGCTATTGCAACTGGGTTTTACATGTAGTACTGCCGCTAACAAGTTACGGTTTATACTCTCAGATTCTCAGTGTTTACGAGCGTTCAATCGAAGTTTTCCTCTTTTTTGGTTGTTTTTATTTCAGAAAGCGGAAATCTGCTGATATATATGAAAAATATCTATTTCTAGTCTTCTTTAGAGCGTCCGATGGAGACTTCACGGAGAAATACAGCATCGTGATAACGTACATGTTTATGACAAATGACCAGTGTGAGGATAGTTTCGTGTAGATCAGCTGACTTCAACATGTTTCAAATGACATACAAGTATAACAGTGTATCTTCAGAGGATTTCAGAATGCTCAAATTCCCATGAAAGAAGGTGCAGCACTCGGAATCTGGATGATATGCACACGATTTGAAGTAAATGTTTGTAGTTACGTCTAGTTGTCCTCCATGAAGGTTGATCAATTTTTTTTAAAAGATGACAACCAGAGGCGAAATTTCTCTTCGGGATATTGCTCGTAAGATAACATTCTTTCAAAGCCTCGCATGTTTCATTTGTCTGAAACGTTTGTTGTTGAGAATATTAGATGTAAACATCACCAAATTATGCAATATCTGATTTTGAGCTTCGTTCGCGAATTGCTCCTATAAAAAGTAGAAGCAGGCCCCCAGAAATTTTTACATATTTAAGAACTATAATATTATAACCAGCTAGTTGGGTAGTTTCAGTTCCAGAATCGGTGTACTTTTGGAGAAATTCAGATAAACGTTTTCCCTGTTTTACTCGACAACAAAAATGACCGAAACTGTACCAAGATGAATAATCTATTGGTGTGTTCACATTCACTCCCAAGGAAAATTGAACGCATCAAAGTGAAGAAAATAATGTTGCTATATATGGTAGAAGTGCCAATTTGTAATGATATATTTGGCTTGAGATAGAGAAATAAACATTTCACTCTTTTTTTGCAACGTTTTGTATGAAAATGAGGCCCCAGGCCCCGAACAAGCAGTCGTTGTTACACTGGCAACAAGAGTGCTGCGACCTTTAAAAAGGGCATTTTTGTGCATCCCCCCTGAGTGCCTAACTGCATGCAAAATTTGAAGGGGGGTTGAAAATTTTGATTTCCCAAGATGTTTGATTCTTACAGAGACTTGTTCTTAATAATTCATTTAGATAGGGCCACAGGTGCTTGATTTTGAAACTTTCACTTCAGTTGCGAAAATAACTCATAAAATAAAGTTTGTCTGTCAACAGTTTAGTTATGAAGTTCCGTGCCACAACATCGCTGAATTCGAATTTAGAGTATTTGTGCCGTCAATCTTTGAACATCCGAGTGATTCTCTAAATTCGTGACCTGTTACAGCCTCGCCGATTGTTAAAAGTTCTAGTTTTGGTAATGAATTGTTTATCATACCCCCAAGTGATTCTAGTTGTGGCTTCTGACAAAAGCGAAGTTTATAAGAAGAATTAAGAGAAGCTGAGTCTATAACTGAGTTCAGAGGTAGAAGACATTAAAAAAAACTAAACATAAACAACTCTCGTGGGTTTATTGTGCTACAAACACAGGTGTCTTTCCCGGCTCTCGAAAATAACAGTTCATTCTTGATTCTTAGTAAGGCGAATTCTCTTTGCTGTATGAAAAATCCTTTTTGACCGAGCATGGCCTGATATTAGCCTCTTTTTCCGTTTTTCTATGGACCTCAACGTCGTCTTGGTCAATAAAAACGCAAAAAGAACTCGGCTAAATCCAGTTATCTTGACTTTAAGTTTGGTCAATAACGCATATGTAATAATCAGGTAACCAGTCATTTCGGGGTGTTCATGGGGCAACGAGACGACTTCGCACCGACGCAAATTTACCCCTGCTATATTGCAGCATGGGGATAATAATTTAATTCTGTTTTAAAATTTCGTTAACGGTTCGTGTAAACGAAAAACCCGTCAAAAATCGAATATGAAACGGTTTCTTTGGTATAGGGAGTCTCCAAGTAAATATTGGCCCAAGTAATTCTTAAAAGTCCGCTGGTTTTTAATGTACGTCTCGATTGTTCGAAGCTTTGAGAGGAAAACTATGGACAAGTTGTGAATTAATGGGGAAGTTATCTTCTCGTAATCTAAATCATCATCCACGTCGTCGTCGTCATTATCATCAAGAGAAATTAAGAATTCATCGATAAAACATTAAAAAGAACGCACCTTGTGTCTTGGCCAGGGTAAACAAGATAAAGGTCATCATCGTAAAAAGACAGCTTCTATGTTGTGAGAGGCTGTGTGTCATTTTCCAAGCTTCAGCAGATTATTCATCAGCAGGACTATCGAAGAGCAGTAATCAATACAAGAACTTAATAATCGCTTCTGGAAGTTAATGACCCAGGGCTTGTTTTTGTTTTTTGTTTTTTAAAGCAATGCATTTCTATTGGCCAAGGCAAAGTAAATGTTATACTTGTAATGATAAATTATGAAAAGCGAATAGCAGAGAAATAACACCTGCAAAACGAGAGCTTAAATTGGCGACATCGGGTGAACATTGACGACTTTCCTTACCTATATTATTATTTTCATTAACTGATAATAGTAATTGACAGTTTCATTCATACAGCTCTAAGCTCTCCCCTTGAGTCTGAGTCTGAAAAGATGAAATAATGTCCTGCAGCTAATCAGTAACTCTCTGACGTATAATGGATAGCTGTGGTCGCTTGTCTTTTGTAATTCTGAGATTTATTTTTACAGAGCACTTGAAGCTTTCCAAACATTATTAACAGTTTTGTCTATGAGATCTTTTCATATAGACTAAAGTGGACAAACAGGCAAACATTTGATTTGAATAATGTCCTAAGAAGTTCCTCAATGTAATTATGGTTTAAGAATAAATGAATTTATAGAAAGCTCCGCAATCTTAATTTTAAGTTTAAAATTAGTGACAACTAAATGCGTCCAATGAGGGACAACTATAGAGGACCGTTGCGATTGCCAAATGTTTTGCTATACAAGCTTAAAAATTCATGTCGAAGGCACAAACCATTAAAAAAAAACCCGCTTTGATGAATTGCATTCTAGCTTTCGAGAGAAGGCGTCAAACCAGCTTTCTCAGTTTGAAAAGCTGAGAAAGAGCCAAGCAATGCAAATATTGGCTTACGCTTTCGCTCTAAACATAAGCGTCATAGATACATGTAACATAAACAAACCGGTTCACTTTGGCTAAATTACACGGGATGAAATACACACGTAAGAGGATATCACCCTCATCTCATTTCAGTTTCGAAAAGATTCAACGGCTACTTTAAAAGATCTTGAGAGCGTAACATTATATTTGTTTGGTTGGATAGTCTTGTGTTTCAGGGAGTGAGTAAACAAATGATATCAAAAACAAAAAGAAAGCAAAAAAAATTCAGCCACCTTCTAACTTGAGATAATTTTGAATAACTTATCGCTTCTGCTGCGATAAGCGATGCGAGAATGAACAATGGAATATCACTGACACGAAAATGCTCTCCACTACCATTGCTTTATACTTTAATAAAAGTAGTTAACTCGAAAGATATTTATTGCTGCGCTCGGTTAAAACTTTGTGGCAGAAATTCAAAATCATTCTGTCATGCTTGTCTTCATTCATTCTTCCGTGTAGTATGAGGCAAATATGGGAAACAAATGCACTTTAACATACAAAAGAAATTGCCTCGGGTAGGCTCTCGAGCTCGAGTCATCTATATCGAGCTCGGTTTCCCGGGAACAAATATTGATCCACAACTTGGATAAATTGATCTACAGTCTAATTCAGTTATAATCACTTCAGTGTTCCGGTAAGATTAAATGTATTTATGCTTGCTGTATTTGACAAAGATTTGGGAATACAGAGATTTAAGATGGAAATGAATTTTTTTCGCATATTATATCTTATTTGAATTCAAGCTTGAGAAAATAAATAATAATATAGTTCCGTGCTAATTTCACCCGCCACCCTTCCCTAATTTTGCATTCCGTGTAATTCAGTTCCTTTATCAGTTTTGCCTAACTTTAGTTTCTACCAGTCACAGACCATCAAATGATAGACTTGTTTAATAAATAATGAGTCCATGATTTTGTTTCATGCTACTAATATATGGCTCTATGCTACTTCATGTAACTTAGTGTCCTCTACACAGAACCCTTGCTCCAGCAATCCTTGTCGGAACAGTTCAACTTGTGTGGCCAAGTGTGTCGATGATAATTATAAGTGCACATGAACACCAGGACTTAAAGGAAAGAACTGCAGTAAAGCTGTAGGTATCTAAATATTACCACGCTCTCATCGTATAACCTTCACTACCAATCTCGAGTTTTTAGAGCGTTATGACGGCGAGCAAACATTCAAACAGTCAGCTTTAGAAATTCTCCACTGTGACTAAAATCCATTATGAACTCGTTGATAAAACCCTGGCCAGCAAATTATTTTTACAATACGTACTCAGATTTAGAATACCCAAACATCAAAATCTTGCCGACCTCATCTCGCTTACCTGGTATGATCCGCAAAGTAAGAAAGGATCTCTATACAGTTATCTCAAGAATTTTCCTTTCACAAGCTCCTTACAGAATAATATGCAGTGTCGAGGCTATTCCTCAACAAGTCCTTGAGTCCATTCCTCACTTTTTTTTCGTTTCTCTATAGATTCGTAAGAACATGAAGCTCAGTAGCTTTTTCTTTAAATTTTCATTTCTTTTCAGTCGCCCGTGGTGAACTTAGTTTGCTCTGAAATTGTGATTTGTCTCTATTGTTTCCCTCCTTTCATCATATGGTAAGTTTATAGAGTTCCTGTTTCGAGTTTCGCTTCGCTGGGTAATCTTTGATGTGTTTTGCAGGTTATTACGGCTTGTTACGAGTTCCTAATCCAAAATAGAAGGTTGTTGTGCTAGCAGTTTGTGACGTTCTCCGCCCGATCAATAAAGACGTTGTTTGGAAGGCCAAAACTTCATGTCCGGCCCGGACATGCGGTTTTACTACATCCATATTGAAATCGCTTGACGACTGTGATCCCTGCAAACTGACTGGCTCTCATCGATGCGATTTAATCACAAATTGCACCATATTATGTTCTTAATCGCATCTTTTTCCCAACCAATGAGACAGCTTTACTAAAACACAGCAACCAAACAAATTTCAAGGCTTATTTGAAGAAATCAATCAAATTGCAGGAAAATGAGAGACAAATTTTGCAACTTTTTACAAACCAGCTCATTACACTGGATCAATAAAATACCTGTATAGCCGGAAATAATTCTTGTATTGAGTGACTGAATTTTGCGATTCAAAATAGATGTGATAAAGTGGTAATTGAACTTCGTTTATTGCAACTTTGGATTGAAATCGTAATGATTCTTGTGATTTGAAATCAAACATGCGCTGCACGCTCGTCTGATTTGAAATCAAGCGTATGATTTCAGACCAAATTGCACTTCACTCAGTTCGATAACCATTACTTCTATATTTAGAGGTGGTGGCGGCGTATTGACACATCTATACAAACACATGAAGTCCATAATTATTCTAACTTGACACTCCCGCTACATTTTGGAGTTAAGGGTTAACGTTATCTGTTATCTTGCTTCAAAAGTAAGCAATCAAAAAAAGAAAAGCAGCGACGAATCTCTTAACACAATTATTATGACCAATGATGATGAATAACTTGTTGTCAAGGAGAGAAGAACAAAAAGGATATTACTAGTACCAGCAAGCAAACTTTTTTTACTGATTGAACGCCTGGGAAACATTTGAAATAAATGCATTTTATATCTAGGTCTGCCTTTGGTGTTTACCATGGAACCAAGAAAGGAGAAAACTTATCGTAGGCCGATACTGATACGCCTTTTATCATGGACTTCATGACCTTTTTCACCAAATGCCACGCCACCCTTCTGTCCATGTGAATTAGTGAACGCTGTGCGGAAGAATGACGCGCTAACATCGGAGCACCAATAAGTGCATGTCATAAAACAACCCCCTGTGTGGGCAGAAATCAGGAAGCCCCTGTAGAACGGATCATCACAAATCAGAAGCTGGTAGGAATAAGCTGGATCAGCCCCCACACCGTCCCACAACCCATAGGAGTGTGCAGATTTTCCGTAATTGAGGGAGGCCTTAATAGCTTGATTGTTTCGTGACTTGAAGTAAATCTTCTTTCCAGTTGAGTGATCCTCAAAGATGATTTCTCTGAACTGAAATAATCATAATGAAATAATAAACTTAATGATTCTGGTGGAAAGCAAAGTAAGGAGAATCAATACAGAATGGAGGAGTCAGTCTGTCTAAAACGTAATTTAAAAGAGATAGAAGAACTTAGCAATAAATTTGAACAACATTAACATCAACGAGCAAACAGGTAGTTGTTATGGACGGCTTTTTTGTGGAGTCCTAGAAGCAAGGTGGTCACATTAAGTTGTTCACATACAGCTGTTTCGAGAAAGTTTGCTTGAAAACGAGGCAAAAGTGCAAGCGACAATGTTAAAGGATAATCTGAATATCCAGAAACTCCTTTTACTTCACTAAGCGAAATAAATCCGTTAATCAATCACACCCACTGTGTCTCGTTCTTAGAATGACGTTTTCTCAGATTTCCTAAAATCTTGAGGTTGCCTACTCACCATATCTTTCGGAGTTATTACATGCACTTTTACGCTTTTTTTTCCCCGATAACTTTTCACGAAACTGCTATATTCAATTGCATGTGCCCAAGGATGATAATGGAGTAATGTGCTTTATATTAAAATCTCGCAAAAAGGAATGTCTGTGGTATGATTATTAATATCAGCTAAAAAACTTACTGGGATGTTGTTGCAATTAGTTCTGTAGCCGTCACTTCCATAAGGAAACTGGGCGTTGTATGTGACCTCCCTCTTAGGTCTGACATATTCATCGGTAGTGTAACACATGGTTCATCCTCCATTGTGTGACGTCATGTCACAGTAGGCCTGAAATGCATTGAATGGCTTCCTCCATCCGGGTCCAACCAGTACATGCCATTACCCCGTGAAAAACCTCGTTCCTTAATGTCCAGGCAATGAAGTCCAACAAATGGACCTGAACATTAAAAGGAATAATAACTGAGTCTATGTGGCTAATAGAAGTTGGTTTATCAGTATGACTTATGAACTATGAATTCTTGTTATTGAGGTTGACAGAATCGCAGGTTAAATAAAATGAATAGCAAAAGCGCTAAAAAATTGTTTAGTTGGAAATAAATTGCGGTCAGTTTTCTGCATAGCTTAAAAGAATACGAAACAGAAAAAGAAAGGCAGAGTAAACTGAGCTAACCCCCCTCCCCCTTCTGCGCTCGGATTCTCCCCTTGTAGAGGTCTTTCTTTCACGTGTAGTACTCGGTTTTTTATTTTCATTTTAATGGAACCAAAGTGAAACTTTCGCCACCAGTAGAAGACTACAGGGCCCAGTTGTTCAAAGGGCCAATAACGCCACCCAACCGAAAAATTTTTATCCATTAAATAATTTTTAACGTACTGCGCTATCAATAAAAATCACAGCTGTCAAATGACACTTTCAATCACGCACTTTCCTATCAGCAGCAGCCCCAATTGATTTACTTATGGGGGAGGGGACGTATAGCTTAAACTGAAACAAGATTGCACTTACAGTTTTACTGAAATGATGGAATATGGGATTGCTGATGAGTTCATTGGGTTCCCTGTGCATATCGGACGGAAGCAGTTCACAAAACAGCTTTCCCCAGTTATCAGGAAATGCTGCCAGGTTGTACGAAAAACACGAAGTGATTTCCAAACAGGCAAATCCACACTCGCTACCATCTTGGACAAGTTCTGAACCAACTCTTGTAATATTTAAGTAAGAAAACGCTTCAGGTTTGAAGTTGATGTAAGACACACCCGTAGAGGAATCCTGGCGATGGAAACCTTGTAACGAGAGAAATCATGTCTAAGTTTGTTTTGCACGGAAGAGTGGCTGAGAGCGGCCCCGTTTATATAGAAACAGGAAACTTATCGACATGATAACACAGCAGTTTACATGTTGAACATATAAGGTTAAATTTGTATCATAACATTGTCAGCCTCTGGTTCCGTGCCGACCAAAGAATCAGCTTCTTTTCTTGTTACCTTTGGTTAGTTAATGATGTTAGGATTACATATGATAATTAATGCTGTTCGTGAATTATCTATGACACGTGGTCTACCGCATATATTAGTTCTGTTGTTGTTCTGGTTCATGTTCGTTATTTCCCGCGCTGTAACTTACTTCAGAATAAATCTAGCTTTTCTAACAAATGACAGAGGGATGTTACCAGTAGATTGCCTCTACAACTACTACTACGAATACTTCCTTTATTTTATAGTGACACAGATTTTACTAAATTACCATGTGAATTACTTGAAGTCCTACTTCTACTTCTTCCTCTACTGTATTGCGACACAGATTCCACCACATTTATACAATCTGCGCATAGGTGTAGGATAGCCAAATCTTGGCGTGTGTTAGTAATATATACATCCTGAGTTACATTAAGCTAAAATTATCATGCAGTTACAAGTTTAAAGTTAATGCTGTCTTTTATCGTGAGCCAACGCTGATGCGCCGTTTATCATGGACTTCAAGACCTTTTAGTCGCAAATTAATGCATCCTAAACGTGGGATCACTTAAAGTTTGGCTGACATTACAAGCCCAACCAATGTGGAGAAGCCATTTCTGAACATACTTAAATTGATATCGAGGATAAATATTATGTTACAGGCCTCACTCTCTGAATATTTCGCAGACTAAACATATTCATATCTCGACAAAATACGTAGAATCCAGCGTTACCCTGGAGGATTGGTTCACTATGTGATAGAAATTAGATAACAGTGGCAAGGACATCAGAAACACACCTACATCAGATGTACTTGGCACACGCCCCTGAAAACCACTTAGAGTGATGGACGTCTCCTCTTGAAATATGTATCTTATTATCATTGTTATGATTATTATCGTTATCATTACTTGATGAAAAAAAAGTTGTTACCTAAATTTCTTGATATTTTATTCAAACGTTAATCCAAATCTTTACGTTCATTATTCACAATAATTGCAAACATTCGTCAAGAAAAAACCTTGAAAAAACCCCGTAAATATCTCAGCGCAGACCGACACTAATGAGTCTTTTATTGACTGGTCGGTGGCCATTGGCGTTAAAGGCCACACCAAAGTACGAACGGGTAGATGCAGTACGGAAGTATGGGGAGACTTTATCGTCACACCAGCTTACACACTGCTTATAACAATTTGTATAACCAGAAACGAAGTAGCCACCGTAGAATGAGGTATCACAGATCAGTAGCTGATAAAGGTATGCGTTGCTCACTCCCACACCGTCCCATAATCCATAAGTAGAAGCACCGTTCCCATAATTCAAACTGGCCGTTATAGACTGGTTGGTTCTTCGCTTGAAATACACTTTAGCCAAAGTTTGATGATCCAAGAACATAATCTCTGTAAACTGGAAAAAGAGACAATGTTTTGTATTGTATGGTGCGAAATTCCGACCTTTTTACAGCCTTAGTCTAAGTTTTATGTGCTTCGGTATTTTCTTTAGTTAAAAAGGTACAGTGCAGCGCCATTTTCAGTGCAGTGAACGAATAGATACGAGTATATGAAATGTATCGTAAGGAGAGAATTGTTTGAAAATTTTTCTTGATTTAACACAAAAATACTAACACACCATTATGTACATCGACACACCTATTTGTGCGTCATGCAATAAAACAAAAAATGAAATAATATTTCGAGACCCATATGCATATATACTAAGCGATCCATATTCATAGAGATAAGAGATTATTCAATCAGCTTACAGAGATGTTGTTGCAGTTAGTCCTGTAGCCGACAGTTCCATAAGGAATAGAGGCGTTGTATGTGACCTCAGTCCTCGGTTTGACAAATTCATCAGTAGTGTAACACATGGTCCATCCTCCATTGTGTGACGTCATGTCGCAGTAGGCCAGGAATGCATTGGAATGGCTTGCTCCATCCGGGTCTAACCAGTACATGCCATCTCCCTGTGAGAGACTTCGCTCCATAATTTCCAAGCAATTTTTTCTTACAAAGTGCCCTGATTATTAATTGAATAGAATTAATTATTAATCTTTATGTAAGGAAAGAGAAATTTCACTTTCTGATTTTCATGCCAGTACATTTTACACCGATGAGGTGAGAAAATGGGTCCCCGTTTGAAAAATACCTTGATGCACTTTTAGGAAAAAGGCCTATGGAGGCTATAATCTCAGAGTCTAAACTATTTCCTAGTATGCTATCACTGTTTGCCGTGAAAAGGCGCCAAGTATGAGAAGGCATCCAAATCAACTTACTCTCAAACCAAATTGAAACCCTTTGTAGGTCATTAGAGGGTAATAACACGAGGCTGGTTTGTGTTCAAATGAATAAAGGGGGTAAGTTTCTAAAGAAACTGTGGTGCTGCGTCGGTGGGAGAGTACAGCAGGTACCCTATTGCTCTGACGAAGGGCTAACACTCGAAACGTCAGCTATTTTACTCTTTACGTTGGTCAGTTTACATCTTCAAAGTTCTTAACACTAAATTACCTTATTTGTGTTCAGCTGAGAACGAAAAGATGATGGTAATGCAGGGAATTGTTACGAATAAGAGAAAAAGGGGTAGAAAAGGCGTGAATCTCTAATTACAATACCTGTTTTGCAGTCTTTTCCGTTGTAAAACCGAGGACACCAACTGCAGTAATAATCGCCATCTTTGAATTTGGCAACACATTTTCCTTTGTTTAAGCAAGGATCGTTGATGCATGGACTCTGTTTCCAAAAAACAGGAGAAAGTTAACTTTATCATCCCAGATAAAAATGCGTTTTGACAATCATCAAAACATTACTCATTCTCAAGAACTTTTGGGCCTATTACCACAAGAATAAGAACATTCAGAGGTGGCGCAGTAAACTTAACATACGTGCTAAGTTAACTAAGGAATTATTCTTATCATAACTTCATTTGCCTCATTGAAGTTGCCAGCCAATATTACAGCTGTCAATTCAGACTTTTTTCCGAACATTATTCCAAAATCAGCCGTGGGCCATAAGTAAGTCTCCTTCGCAGCCGTTGTTGTCTCCACATGCAACGCAGTCTCTCCCCCCACCTCTCCAACTACTGGACGCGTTGCTTGACGAGGACCACACAACAACTGTGATCAAGGAGACCAGGCACAAGCAGTTGTGGATAGTCTCCTTGATCGCAGCTGTTGTTTGGTCCCTAAATGAAAGTTTGATTATTAGAGTCTACGAAATTCACAAATATATCGGCCATGTACACGTCGTATACTCCTTAATCTACAATGATCAGAACTGTTTCACATACCCATCTTTTATGAAGCCCAGCCAGAAAATTATTATGTATAAAATCGATAGTGTGACTGCCGATCACACGAAATAATGTCTTTTCAAAATAATTTTCTTGCTCTAATCCCTGAATTTGCTAAAACACTTGAAAAGGTTTATCTTTATTTATGATAATGCTAATGTTACTAGAGTGTTTTTCGATTCAAACTACACTCACCGTTTTACTAAAATGATGAAACATCGGGTTGTGGATCAATTCATTGGGCATCCTGTGCTTGTCAGAAGGTAGAAGTTCACACAACAGTTTTCCGTTGATATCAGGAAATGTAGCCAGGTTAAAAGAAGAACATGAAGTGACTTGTAAACAGGCCAATCCACACTCGGTGTCCTTTTGGACAAGTTTTGAACCGATTCTTGTGATGTTCAGGTAAGAAAATTGTTCGTGCTTGAAGTTCGCATATGATACACCTGGCTCAGCAAAATCTTGCCGAACACCTTTTAACAGAAGGAATTACATTCATATTAGTTTTATCAAGCTATGGCAAAATATTCGAGAATGATTTCCTGTCAGAATCTAAAACTCTATTTTAAAGGAGTGCGCTTTATGAAACACTTTTAGACAGGACAGCGGCTGAGCGTAACCTTACGTAAGAGACGAAACAATTTTTTTTGCAGGATATACCAAAGCAGCGAGGTTAAAAAGCATGAGAACCCTTAACTTATGCTGATCAAAGTCTCGGTAACTAAGCACATTAGTGAGTTATTCGCCGTTCAATCAGAAACAGTTTAAAAGAAGTCAACTGCTGTGTTTTTAGTAGGACGCTTCGGGTTGCTTCGTTTAAGTACCTTTTCCCTCCGACTATTTATACCAAGTTATTACAAAGTGCGACAAGTATTTTTAAAAAGAGCCACAGTTTATTTCTATTATCACAAATTGCGATGGTCTGTTATTACAAAGTGCGACAGAATTTTTGTTACTCACTGTGACAAGTGTTATAGAAAGTGCCACAGGTATTGGAAAATGCGACAATCTTACTACAAAGTGTGACAAGTATTTTAAAGTGCAACAGAACCTCCCGCAACACCGGCGACTGAATTAAAACTGTTTAGCTCAGTCCTACTGTTATTATTCAAAATGATGCTCAAAGATACTTAATGGAAGAAATTTAACAGGGCTGTTCAAAACAAAAGCCAAATTTATGTTGAATGGAAATATCAGAGAGAATGCCTTGTTATCATTTCCAAGAGTTACATCCTTTACGACAAAGTATATTTAATAGAGGACATCTAACTGACGATTAAAATTTTGGCCATTTTACAGCTAACGTTTAGTTTCTTTCCGTTGCGATTGCAAACCAAATTGACGGTTAACTTTTATACGACTTAAGGTTAAAATTCGTCAATTCTTACACTTAACAGCTAAATTTAACCACATTAAAACCCTCCTAAAACATTTTTAGACAGGTCTACTTTGTGAGTGTAGTTCAATTGAGCAGTGACCGTTTTGTGAGTAATCATTTAAAGCTACAAGCTGTTATACCTAGGTGTTAACTAAGATCTTAGTCATCACTTGGTATCATATCGATGATGATCGAGTCAGACTTTCCGTGAAGGATTTTGAGCTACATCGAGCCTTTTCGATGCGTTTAGTACTAGAAAAAAAAAAGCAACTATGTTTCAGTTCTCATAACTTACTAAACCCGTTTTTCATTATTTTGATCTCCATCGTTAGACTCCCAAACGTTCAGTTCACATGGATCGTCTGTTTTCTGTGACGTGAAGAGGAGAGGAGGAGTTTTCGGTAAACGTCAGTTTTGCCGAGAAAAAAGAATAGGAAAATAAAGGAAGAAAAAAATATGCAGCAAAAAAACCGAGACGGCGCGACTCGTGAAATTTGACTTTCGTGTGTATGGTGCGTGTCAAATATTGGTCTAAATTTCCTAAAAACTTTCATTAAAAAAATAACAAATGTATTTATGGTTTTCTTCTAGGACTGAAGAGTCAAGCTGAATTATGAAAGTGAGTGTTAACTTCTTCAAGATAGTCCTTATCGATGCTTACGGACCAAACATTGAAACTACAAAATCCGATAACATAACATATTCATGTTCGAATCAAACATAAGTTCGGTCAAAAGGACATAAATAGTAAATTTCAGAAACCACACCTTCACAAATTATCAAGATATATATTACGGTCATCGTTATAATCAGATCCATTTCTTGTAGTCGCGAATTCAGCAATGTTGTGGCACGGAACTTCATATCTAAACTGTTGACAGACAAACGTATATATATACGTTATTTTCGTAATACTGAAATGAAAGTTTCAAAAACAAGCACCTGTGTCCCTATCTAAATGAATTATTCAACTGTTTCCTTATAAGCAAAGGCATTGCGCAAAGCGAATAATGTTTAGAATTCAGGAACTAAAATTAGTTTGTTCATGAAAGCTGTTAGCAATAAAATGATACACGTACGGATAATACAAAGACTATTAAAAAAAACTTGTGCGGTTGCGCCAGAAAATTGAAAAATCCCCATTGAGAACAAACAAACCCTTCTTACTCTTACCACACCGATCGAAGATTACTACGACAAAATTTAGAGTATTTGTGCCGTCAATCTTTGAACATCCGAGTGATTCTCTAAATTCGTGACTTATTACAGCCTCGCCGATTGTTTAAAGCTCTAGTTTTAATGAATTGTTTATCATACCCCCAAGGGATTCTAGTTGTGGCGTCTGACAAGTTTATAAGAAGAATGAGAAGAAGCCGAGTGTTTACCGGCTCTCGAAATAAACAGTTCATTCTTGATTCTTAATAAAGCGAAATCTCTTTGCCGTATGATAAATCCTTTTGACCAAGCATGGCTTGATATTAGCTTCTTTTTCCGTTTTTCTATGGACCTCAAAGTCGTCTTGGTCAATTGGTCAAGAACGCAAAAAAGAACTCGGCCAAAATTCAGTTACCTTGACTTTAGGTTTGGTCAATAATGCAAATGTAATAATCAGGTAACCAATCATCACCATTCTCAATGAGAGTTAGTTTTGCTAAGAAGAAAAGCTGAGAAAGAAAAGGAAGAAAAAAAAAAAAAAGCAGCGAAAATACCAAGACGGCGGCGACTTATGAAAATTTGACTTTCACGGTGTTTGTAAAATACTGATCTTCTTTTGCAATGATTTTCAATATTTTAGAAAAACAAATGTATTTACGGTTTTTCATCTAGAACTGAAGAGTCGAGCTGAATAATCAAAGTCAGTGTTAACTACTTCAAGACAGTCCCTATCGATGCTTGCGGACCAAACATTGAAAGTACAAAATCCGAATATCAAACATGGTCATAGTCGAATCAAACATAACTTCGTTCATATGTAATAATCAGGTAACCAGTCATCACTGGGGTATTCATGGGACAGCGAGGCGACTACCGCACCGACGTGACTTTACCCCTGCTATATTGCAGCATAGGGAGAATAGTTTTATTCTTGTTAAAAATTTCGTAAACGGTTCATGTAAAAGAAAAACCCGTCAAAAATCTTCCATTAAAAGGTTTCTTTGGTATGAGGAGTCTCCGAGTAAATATTAGCCCAAGTAATTCTTAAAAGTCCGCTGGTTTTTAATGTACATCTCGATTGTTCGAAGCTTTGAGAGGAAAACTATGGAAAAGTTGTGAATTAATAAGGAAGTTATCTCCTCGTAATCTACACCATCATCCACGTCGTCGTCGTCATATCATCAAGAGAAATTAAGAATTTATCGATAAAATATTAAAACGAAAGCACCTTGTGTCATGGCCAGTCCAAACAAGATAAAGGTCATCATCGTAAAAAGACAGTTTCTACGTTGTGAGAGGCTGTGTGTCATTTTCCAAGCTTCAGCAGATTATTCATCTGCAGGACTATCGAAGAGCAGTAATCAATACAGGAACTTAATAGTCGCTTCTGGAAGTTAATGACTTACAGCTTGATTTTTTATTTTTTCAAGTAATGCATTTCTATTGGCCAAGGCAAAGTATATACTGTACTTGTAATGACAAATTATAAAGCGAATAGCAAAGAGATAGCACCTGCAAACGAGAGGTTGAATTGGCGACATCAGGTGAACATTGACGGCTTTCCTTACCTTACTTTAAAAATATTTTCAATAATTGATAATAGAAATTGACAGTTTCATTCTTACAGCTCTAAGCTCTCCCCATGAGTCTAATTCTGAAAAGATGAAATGATGTCCTGTAGCTAATCAGTAACTCTCTGACGTATAATGAATAGCTGTGGTCGCTTGTCTTTCGTACTTCTGACATTTATTTTTGTAGAGCAGTTGACGCCTTCCAAACACAATCAACAGTTTTGTCTATGAGATCTTTTCAAATAGATAAAAGTGGACAAACGGGCAAACATTTGATTTGGATAGTGTCCTTAGAAGTTCCTCAGCGGAAGTATGGTTTAAAAATAAATGAATTCATAGA